ATCCATCCATCCATCCATCCATCCATCCATCCATCCATCCATCCATCATCTTTACCCGCTTCTTCCTTTTCGGGTCATGCCATAAAAAAACAGGTTGGTCATCTCCACAAAAAAACTTAGCAGCCTTACATTGCAAATAGAAGGCTTGTGGTCCACCGAAGATTTAAAGATATTAGGACTAGAAGAATATCAAAGAAAATATGGTGAAGGTAAATCAGCACACACTTGTACACAATCTGCCACTGTTATCATAATACTGTCCTCTGACTGCTAAAATGGACCCAAACAAAAAGTCAATACCAAGCGAGGTGCTTTAAGCTCTCCAGGGCTCTCACTAGATATTCTGTGTAAGCCACAGTGGCGTACAAACAAGGCTCACCAAAAGACTTTCCCATGGCAGAGCCGTCCACCTTAAAGTTAAGGTCAAAGACAAAGAGGTGTGCATGTGCGTGTGAGTGAGTGTTCAGTGGTGCTGGGAGGGACATTTTAAAGAGGTAGAGAATGTGTTTGTGAGTCCACGCTGTTCCAATGGATTAACCCCAGACAGATATGGGCCTAACTATCCCATCTGGCTTTCGGTCAAGAAAGATTGGCAATACAATCACTCATTTCAATTTGCCCTGAAACCTTATAGCCTGGCAGGCCCCTGCTCAAATGGTATGCTAATGTGAAAGGTATCTAGGATTCTATCGCCTCTATTCCACAGAGGCCTTTACCTCCATGCAGCACAGTGCACTTGAACTGTGACTGGGGCAAAAAGCTCCACAGCCCTCATTGCAATAAGGGCCAAAGTCCCCTTTGCGCTTAAACTAACCACTTTAGCTAAAGTGAGTGTTAATTATGGACAGGCAAAGCAGTCAATAAAAGGTTAATGTAAAAGTCAAAGGATAAATTCCTTTAAGCATTGCATCATTCCACCATCTCTGCGACCAACACACTGCTCACAGGTCTCGTAATCAATACGTTTTACTGTAATGCGCTCCCTATCGATTTCTCACTCTCTCTCCACAGTCCAAGCTCCATCACTTTGGTAAAGGTAGGGGAGCGAGAGGGAGAGAGAAAAACAAGTAAATAAAATGATTAACCTCTGTTTCACTTTGTTGTTTCACTCTTCGAGTCTCTCTGAATGGCTTGTTAGAAGAGTGCAGGGTGGGCCAATATTATCGCTGCCTCAGATCACCACCAGTCCAATCATCAGCATCATCGGCCCGCTCAATCTCTGGTCAGTGTGTAATTGTGTAGCACTACATTCGAAAAGGGTCATACATTAAAAGGCCCTCCACTCTTAACAGGGTGGAAATCCGCTTAATAGACAACATCAGTGCTTCCGACTCCAGCAATTACACTGATAAATGCACAACTGTGTCAGGCCAAGTGAAAAATAACCCAAAGAATGTAGATAAGAGACAACACTTATTGCAAAATTACTACAGGAGGTCATTTGTAACCACAAGGGACTACACCACATGGCTGCTTGGCTTAAGACATTATCTTACAACACGCAAAATATCTTCTTTCGACTGATCAGTTGTTTTATGTGGAGATGAAGTAAATGGCATAAGAACTGCAAGTGGTACCCTAATCAAACTATATTTATTAGGTCTAACTATGTAAAAAAAAAAGAGATAAATGAAAACAAGACCAACATTTTAAATGTAACAAGCAGTACGCCATTATCCCCCATCGCTGAGGGATATGAATAGTGAATATTTATAGTTTTTGAGATGAGGGTTTTTCTGGACTGGAACTAAACAGGGAGGGTATTCAACAAACAATCCACCGGACACTCCAGCCATTTGAGGAAACTATACTTTCAAGCAACATAAAAAACTATGTCACTTATATAGTGGTGGCCATCTTGGATTTTTGACATGGTAACCCAGTTTTGACAGGGACATTCTTATGACCAGGTGCAGCTACACAAAAATAGAAGTCAGCACGTTACTTACTTTTCAAGTTTTCTGACTCACAAGAGTGACATTTTTGGCAGCAGCCATCTTGGATTTTCACATAGCAACACAATTTTGAACCTTTCTTTTGCCTAGATGTGGGCGATTGTAGCTGAACGGTTAGAGCAGTCGTCCTCCAATGCAAGAGTTGGGGGTTCGAATCCACCAGCAGTCACATGCCGAAGTGTCCTTGGGCAAGACGCTGAACTCCTCATTGCCTCCGATGTGAGTCCCATCGGTGTATGAATGTGATAAAGCACTGATTAGTCTCTTTAGAATGATTAGTTCAATTAGCTTTGTAGAGATCTAGTAGAGTGCTGTTTGAATGGGTAAATGATGCACAGATTGTAATATAAAGCACTTTCAGTATCTTGATCAGAAAGAAAGGTGCTATATAAGTACAGTACATTTACCATTTAGATGTATTAACAGTTCACACAAAAAAATGGATGTCAGTGTCTCACTAATTTTTCAAGGTATCATGCTCATAAAGTGCATGGATGAATGGACGGACGAAGGGCATTTCCAATTCCCCCTTTTTGCTCTCTGACAGGAAGAACTAAAATTAGGCTACCCAAGTTGTTGTATAACACATCATACATACATACAGATATAGATCATAGTCACATTAGCATGGCTAGTGTACATACATTTATTTTAAAAGTATATTTTTCCTGCAGTTGAACT